GAGGGAGAAGGGAACTGGGGTTGTCATGTAAAACAATCTTGTTTCTAATCCAAAAAAATAAAAATCTGCAAAAAAGTAATAAAAGATTAAAAAAAAGATCTTGGCAATCATATTCTCTTTTCCTCTCCCTTTTTCTCTTTATATTTCTTTCCTCTCATTTCTTCTCTCCCTCTCTGGACCATGCCACCCCACTCCCTCTCCCATTTTCTTTTCTTTTTTAAAAAGCTGAGCCTGATTCAGGGGATGTTGAGGCAGACAGAGAGCTGTTTAGCCTGGTAGCACTTGTCTTCTGTTCACACTGCCTGAGTCAGGGGCAACCAGGTCAGTTTTACACACTGTGACCAGGCCACATTAGGCAGAGGCTGTGACCTCACCCAGTATTGTGTGTGTACCCCAGTAACCTAACCCCTCCAGCTACCTTTACTCTATGGATAGTTCCATGTCATAGAAGAGTTTGGTGCGGGTCCAGATCAATGGCTTATGCCTATTTACTGGAGAGGTAGAGGCGGAAGATCAATGTGAGTTAGAGGCCATCTTGGTCTGTATAGGGAGTTCCAGGTCAACCAGGACTATAGAGCAAGGTCCTCTCAAACAGTATTTTTTTTTTTTTTTTTTTGTCAGGCTAGGGGTCAAAGTCATGCAGGTTATCTGAAGAGTAGCTGATGGAAAGGTGAATGTAGGGTAGTGCAGACGGCACGCCTGCTGGATTTACAGAGTTGCGCTGCAGGACGCTGCACACAATGTCACGTTCTTCCGGTGTCCTGTCAGGGAGCTTTTGATGGCTACTCATTCTACAATAACAAAATGGAGGCCCACTGGCCCAGATTATACACTCAGGAGATAGAGTCCCTGTCTGAGTGACAGGTTCCAGTATCCTCAGCTTCCACGTGCCTTCACTCCCCTGTCGTACTGTAGCTTCTCTGTATTAACCAGCATCTCAAGGAGCATGCCTCCCCTGTGCACACCCCCTGCTGCACTTGGTCTTTATGGGTGATGTAAGGAGAAGCTATCCACAGAAATCTCCAGAGCTCGAAATTGGTGTGGCGCATTTCAGAAGAGCCACATTTGCATTACTTTTAGGGCCGGCCAGGACTGTTTGGGTATCAGTGTTCCCTGTTTCCAAAATCAAGGAATAATGAACTACTTTCTTGGGTGTAGTTTTCCTTATATTTATGTGCTCAGCTTGTAATCAGTCTACAGGGTGAATTTCAGTATAGTTTGTCATATTGCAGCAATCAGAAGTGTGGGACTTGCTTTAGTCAAGCAGGTTCTGATCCTAAAATGAGCTCCATGCCTGGCCTTTCTTTGTAAGTTCTTTCAGAGACCTTCAGTAAGGTGGATAACACACACTGTCCTATACTTGGAGACTCTGGAACTAAGTGGAGGTGTGCAGAGACATTTGAGAGTGACAACACGGGTGCCTGTCCGATCTGGCATGCCACAGAAAATGGACCGTTTCTGCTCACAGAGTAGCTTTGATGTAGTGCTGGGCATGGAGAAGGCTACCCATGCCCTGCTTTTGAAACTCTTGATCTTGTCATTATCATTGGAATCATCCTGTCACCCACACAGCAGATCTGACTGTGCTGGTCGAGTTGTCTGCTCTGTCTACTGTTCTACCAGCAGATTCTCCCTGAGAATGCATTACAGGTTACAGTACATTTCCAAAAATTCTGCCTAAATCTATGAGAGGCTTGTCAAGAGAAAATTAAATATTTTGTTTTGCATTATTATAAAGACTATTGAAATCTTCCATTTTCTCAAGTCATCATTTTCATGTATTCTGATCAGGATACAAGGGATGGGGCAGCTTGAGCCATGTATTAATGCTATGGTTTTTTTTGTTTCTGTTTTTGTTTTTTTTCAGGTTGGTTTGCTGGACCTTGAACTCAATCAGCTGACAAAGGCGTTATTTCTGGCTTTAGTTGTTCTTTCTATTGTTATGGTAACCTTACAGGGATTTGCAGGTCCATGGTACCGGAATCTTTTTCGGTTCCTCCTTCTCTTTTCCTACATCATTCCCATAAGGTAGGTTTAAAATTAAAAGAAGACATAATGTATGATTTTGCTGAAAGAAGTTATCTAGTCAAAGCTGTAGAGAAAGGGGCCAGGAACCCAGTGGATGTAGCGGTCATCTGTAGAAGTGCAGTTTGGGGGCATGAGTAGCTTTGCTCGAGTACTTTAGAGAGAGCCACTTTTCCTGCTTTTAGTAATGCTGTCTGTCTTCAAGTTGAAAGACACCTTTTGTTCAAACATAAATATGAATCTAAGGAGGGAATTTTTTACAAATTGCTGGTTGCTATTTTATGCCCAGTGCTCTAGGGTCTGTGTGCATTGTTGACATTTAAAGTTACCTGTATTTAAAAGCCACACCTAGTGGTGTGTGCCTGTAATCCTTAGCTGGAGTCAGGATGCCAAGGCCTGACTGCATAGCAAGATGCTGTTTCAAAAACCAAGTAAACAGATCCCTGCTATTTAAAGGAGGTTCTGACCAATTCTTTAAATAGATAAAGTGCTGACTAAGGCACTCTTTGAAAGGAACTGTTTTTCAAAATGATAAGCAGTATAATGACATTGGTATGTAAACAGTTAATATTCAGTACCTATTTAAAGACTCATTTGTAATATTAACAGTCACAAAAAATATCTTATCTTTAAAAAGAAACCCTAAGTGTGTTTATGTGTATATGCTTACTCACACAAAAAGACTGAGGATTTTCATGTGAATAAAACTTGAGCTGTGAATCTCGACTAACCATCATTTGTAATGTCAGTGAAGGTGACAATGTCACAGGCAATAAGGCTCTTGTATTCCACTGCCATTGCAATCCTGATTGACTGCTCATGCAGACATTCCTCACTTTCTGACACAGCCTCAAAGCCAGCAAGCTCTGTAACTTTTGGCCTTGGGAAGCACAAGCATGTACTAGAATATCGTTGTTGTCAAGCAAATTCTGTCTCCAAGCCTTGCCTGATACATAGACCAAACTTGCCTTCACCTCTCCAAGATTAACCTGTGGCTGTTTACATATTAAGCTCCTTACACCTAGCTGTGCTGTCTACCCAGGTACCCATAGGTTAGTCCCTTGTAATTGATACGTCACCTAAGTACACCACTCAGGCCTTAGAAAGGTCCCACCACGCAGTCACAGGTGCTTGCTGTCCTGTGAGTGACAGCAGTTCTGTGTGGGTCTGTGCTGATGCCTGTCTATTTTGTTGACACACCTCTCTTCCAGTAAGCTCTATAAGGGCTAAAGACTGTTTTTACAACCAGCTTTGTATCCAGTGCCAGAGCTGGGTGACACAGTGTGCAACAAGGGCTCCTGGACATGCCCGATTTGGGAATTTACTTATGTACAAAGTGCAGATACCATGTATTCTCATATTGAATGCTATAAGTGAGCTCAAGGATAGGTCCTTGTCCCCAAAGTCCTACTAGGTAGTGCAAGAAACTAACAAGAGTGTAAATGTGATGTCACCTGTCTGTTTTAACAGTTATGACAGAATTTATTCACATGTGCAAATCCTTCCAGTATTTCTTAGTTAGTGCCCTTTCAACCAATGGCTTGCATTGATTCCAGCCTCTGTCCCATCCTCCTACTCCTCCTC